ACGCATATATTTTGTTTTCGGCTTATATAGTCATTCATGAAAGTGAAATGAGTTTACTGGTATTGTGCAATGCCGTCTTTCTATCCGTCTGTATGTCTGTCCGCGTAGAAACACGGAAAGGTAATTTTTCGGTATGCCAGAAATCAGATTAGGTGAAGAGTTAAAATATGTGCGTGCTTAGACGCATATATTTTGTTTTCGGCTTATATAGTCATTCATGAAAGTGAAATGAGTTTGCTGGTATTATGCAATGCCGTCTTTCTATCCGTCTGTATGTCTGTCCGCGTAGAAACACGGAAACTTAATTTTTCGGTATGACAGAAATCAGATTAGGTGAAGAGTTAAAAAGCTGAAAACTATATCTTCTATAGTTTTAAAGCTAGAATCCTGAAATAGTGCACGTCAGTTAATGCTATGGTTTTATAAAGATCGACTCAGCACGCCGCCCTTCAAGGACATATATACTTTATGGGGTCTGCCTGTCCACATTGAGTTCTTAAATATAATGGTAATGTCTACTAATTACAAATTCCATACAAATTTAATAGGACCCACGGAGAATGATTTATGCTTTCAAAGGAAAAATAATCATACTTTTGACCATTAGCGATTTCCTTGAGCACAGCAGCTCGTGCTGCAAGTTCCTCTGCTCGACGCTGTTGTGTCAATTCTTTAGCACGTTCTGTCCAGATGAGCTCCTTCAGCTTTTGAAAGCTGCCATGTACAGCGACTGAGTTATGACTTCCACCCACATTATTGGCTGCCAAGTTAGTTGATACGCCCACATATCTATTTTTACTGGATCTGCGTGGAGAGGAGCCCGCTGTCCCAGTGCCAGCTCCAGCTCCAGCTCCAATTCCAGACGGACGTACTTCACCACCATATAAGCGTGCTTGGCTAGCTCCATTTTGATTTCCATCAAGATTTCGTGGACGTTGCTCAAATGACATACGTTGTGGTATGATGGGTTCTCGACTTAAGACACGTCCAAATACTGGGGATCTAGCACGTTCCCGAGCACCCATGCGAATTCTGCAATAAGGGTAGAACATTACTTTACTTGGAAAATACTTGGGGCTAAGAAACTTACGAGCCGAGCAACCGAGAATTAGAGTAGATGGGTTCCCAAACATTGTATGTGAAGGGATCACGATATGTGGGTATTTCATTTGTCATTTCAGCTGCACGAGATTGTCTCTTGGAAAATCTATGATGAGTACATAATTATAATTCTATATGTCAATACATATATCGAAACTCACATCCACATAGCGCGTAGCTGTTCACATGATGGTTCTTGCGAACTTATTGAGAATGTCTTTGGAACAAAGACTTCGCCAACGGCTCGAACCCCTGCGTCTTCTACTAAGGCCGTATTAACATTGGATGTTGAGTCCGAGTCCTTGACTAACTTATTGCCGTCTGCACTTCTCGGCACTCCATAGTCGTGGCTACGTGCATTTAAAAAGATGCACTTGCCTTGTGTTAGGTAGAGCAGAATTAAAAATATATGTATGTGTATGTATTTATTCTGCAAAGATTGAAGAATATTGAACAATTTTATTTATTTATTTTCATATTTTGGTTTTACACACAGCGCGCTCCAGAACGAATTCCCATAGAAGGGATAGTGTAAGGTGATACGGAAAAATTACTAGCTGAATTAGATAGACGAAAGTGATAGTTTGCCAATACATTGCGCTCGATGCAAGTCGAAAGAAGCCTAACAGCTATGGGATGCCAAAAACGCATAGCAAACGAAGGCAGACAATAGGCGTAGTGGTGTAACCATGATAATGCAAGAAAAGAAGTGTCGATTGCTATCACACGCAATAAGCATGACGAGTGGAAAAAGCTTTGCAAAGATATAAACAAAGATCCTTGGGGAGTTGGCTACAAAAGACTCATAAAGAAGCTGAGGAACTACGGAGCAGTGTCAAACGCGGATTACGAAACGATGGTTTCATCACTATTTCCAACACACATCCATGAAACGCATAAGCGGGCACCTGTAGAGTTTGATGGCTTAGACCCAATTTCTCTGAGTAAGAACTCATTACTGCAGCTCTCTCCCTGAAGAATAAAAGAGCGCCGGGAATAAAATACTGGCGGAGATATTGACGGTGATAGGACCTACTTTTATAATTAAGATGTATAATGCAGGCTTCAAAGAAAGGATATTCCCAGAACCGTGGAAAGAGCAGAGACTGGTGTTTATTAGCAAAGGTAAAGCTGATGTCAACATACTTTCCGCATACTGCCCATTGTATACATTATAAACACAGCTGGCAAGCTGTTAAAAAAGCTTCTAAGTCCAGACTACTCACTACAGTAGATTTCTCTGGAAAAATTAATCCTAGACAAATCGGGTTTAGTGCTGGAAAATATACAATAGGAGCTATTAATAAAATGGTTCAGCCAGCCAGAGCTACGCAGAGAAGAAATGCATACTCGTGCCCAATGGTTCTGCTAGTGACCCTGGATGTCAAAAATGCTTTTCATAGTGTTAGGTGGACCGAAATGCTTGTTTCCTTGGTGCATCATTATACCCTGAACCCATTGAAAATGGGAAATTAGGGTATAATGGTTTTTTTTTTAAGTTTGTAACAGGCAGAAGGAGGCGTGGCAGACCCCACAAAGTATATATATTCTTGATC